TCTATATACCAACATTTTTGCAGTCTGAGAGTAGAAAAACTTTCTCATGCTGATTACTCCCCCCCGCCATTCCACTCTAATTATTTATTCAGTAAATTAAGTAAGACGGGGTTTATCTCTCAGTGTTTTCACATTTACTGCACTGCTTACTTTGACATTTCACTCAGGGAGTGAACTAGAGAACATTATGTCTGCTGAGTTCCTCTGTGTAAGGCACAGAATCTCCCCTTTCCCAAAGAATAGTGATTCTTTGAATAAAACCCATGAACATAACATTATCAAATTAATAGTTTGATACTAGTTACAATAGAGAGCTGAGCAGAATCATATAGGGATGTCAGAGCAATTTTTAGCAAAATAACAGAGAAAATAAAATTGACAAAGCAAGCATGTCAAAACTAAGCAACCGAATATCTGCAAAATCCACAACCACTAGTCCATATGGATCCTAAGTTAGGGTATCTTCTATCTATGTGGTCACCAGAAGTCGAAAACATCTGGATGGCATAATCAAACAATCAATCAATTAAAAAGGGCACAGTGTTAAGGGCTAATTTATTGTTTCCTTTCTCTGGACTCTCAAAATGTAAACCTTTTCCAGAACAAAGAAGGTAACTTGTTTAAGATACAAAATAGATGTTATACGTCATATTTACATGTGAGAGGATAAGGACTAGGATTTCCACTGTAAGTTTTCCAAAAGCAAATGACTATCTCTTCTGAAAAGGCTCCTGACAAACTTAGTTCAGACATTATGATTTCACATAAATCAAAGAACTTTGAATGTTCCCAAGAATGGAAATCCAGCCTGAACAATGATTATTATTCCTGTTTGTTTGTGTAATTACAATAGAAAGAAGATTTATATGGGGGAAAGGCATTAGAAGAATAGGCTAAGTCTGGCACCTTCATTCTACCAGAAAAGAGCCATTTGTCTTCTATTCTGGTTGAAAAGGAAGAAACTGTAATCCAAGCTTCAGTTTTGTCAGTGATGCTGACCAGATGTCCTGTCAGGCAGTGGTTAGCACAATCCCTGACTGATATCTGTATCTTTACCCTGCATTTTCTCAGTATCAGGGAAGATGAACTTATCCTTCTTTGCCATAGGCAGGTCTCTGAGAAAGGGCCTCCACTGGGAGAATTTTTACAGGGACTGCCTTCTGTTCATGTTCCCTTATCCCTTATTCCCTTACTTTCTATCCGACACATCTACCAGCAATCGGGGGGGGGGCGGGGAATACCACTGTTTTGGTGTTCTTCCTGTCCCTTGGGTAAAAGTAGAAAGTGGAAGAAAAAAGAAAGTGTATTTGTAAAACATGGGGGGGAGGACTGAGGCAATATAGTGGGCAATGCCCTTCAGAAATTATTTTTAACTGTACTTTAACACCACATCTAACCAGACATATGAATGAACCCTCAAATGTCTCTTTCTCTCTTTTTGCAGAAGTGCAGAAATGTGTCGTAAGCTGTTTATGTTCATTTTTAAGCTAATCACATTTCTTCCTTGTATCAGACCTTAGTGAAATCAGAATGAAAATATAATTTCCAATCCTGGTTTCTTCTGAGTATTAGATTAAACAAAAGCAGTTCTTTAAGTCTACACAGAACAGGAAATTGACGTTTCTTTAGATATAAAGTATAAGATTGCAGCATCTTGTTGCTATCTAAAAAGAAAGGAGAACATCAGTCCAAAGGCTGTATACAGGCTCACTTCCATAGCAAGAAACCACACTACCTCTTATTTCTCAAATGGCTTAGAAATTCACAGAGTGCCTTTAACAAATAGATTAATACACCTATTGGGGAACTAGGAAAAAACTATATGAAGAAAAAGACTAAGTCAGTTCTGGAACATTTTAATAAACTTTTTGGCCTTTAAGGAGCACTAGACCAGCTGAAGATTTTCCATCAAAAATCTGACAAGATGATCTTTATTGTCATTTTTTACTGTGGGCACACTGGCACACATTAAAAATAAAATTCTCAAAAGTGTACAAATACATAACACACATATAGACATGCTATATACATACATATGTATATACATATACCCTTACATATAAATACGTACAAATATTAATCACTGTCCATCTTGAATACATAGCAGAAAGTGGAAGACTGATACTGTATGGAACAAAACTGTGACTGAAACTGGATGTTCTGCTTCGGATACCACAAAGACTCCTCCCAGAAGGTAACAAGGAAAACAGGCCACAAGGAGAATCTGTAGTGTCCCAGACAATACTGCAAACCCTGCTCAAGCAACACTTATATGCTATGTCCTGGATAGAAAGGAGTGAACTGCCAATAATCTTTTCAGCCATCCTCACCACTTTCTGAACCGCCTCCCTGTCTGAAGCAATAATGCTTCCAAACCAGATTGTAATGAATGCTATATGACAGGAGGCTCTCCATTGTCCCTCTATAGAAATGGTAAGGACAGGGGAAGGAAAATGCACTTTTCTCATGCAACTCACTGGTGCTCACTTCATCAGTGTCTCATTATTGAACGACCAAACCAGCCTACTTGTTAGCTGCACACCCAGAAATGTGATGCTGCTAACCATCTCCATTATGGTGAATCATTAATACACAAAGGGGTGTGGCTGTGCCTGCCTTTTCTGAAATCAATAATGATCTCTTTAGTTTTTCCAATGCTTAAAACAAGGGTGTTTTTATTACACTATTTCATAAAGAAGGTCACTATCAATGAGACTCTGAAATTTCATTTTTCTCATTCTAAAACAACCCTGGTTTTTTCCACTAGTTATCCCTCTCTTTCTCCCAACTTTCTCTCCTTCCCCACAGCTATAATTTTGAGTATGCACCAAAAAAGGGTATGTCAGGACTTCTTATATAGCGTAACAAGTGGATTGAGAGCTACGAAAGCTTGGGTATTGAATAAAAATGGTAGTTAAGTCATTAAGAGTTTCTCCAAAACTCTTTCAATTTTTTTTAAAATCATCTTCCCTATAATAAATTCTTTGAAACAAGCAAGTAAACTTTGGAGCAACTGACATACCAATTAGGACAAGGTTTTGTACTAAAATTGAAAAAATGTCCCAGATGATAATGATATGAAATATAAATTGACGACAAAATAACAGCTGAAAAACAAGATGAAACAAATAATTGAATAATAAGGCTAATTTAGATACAGAAAATAGGGACTTTCTTCCTCCCCCCCCCTTTTTTTTTCTTCTTGTTATAGAAGCATCATGGAAAAAAAAAGAGCTGTCTTACATGAAAGAAAATCAGTGAAGGAGAGTTTCAGTGCCCCCACATGGATTAAAACAGAAGGGAAGAGAGCAAGCCTTTTGCCTCCCTTCCCTCAAAGAATGCCCTGATGGCAAAGGATCTCAATTAAAACAATGAGCAAATGGCTTAGTTCATTTTTTCCCCCAATAGGCAGATGAGAGGAAAGAGTTGGAAATTTAGTTGTAGAGAATAGTCTTGGAAATATCTGAACCTTTTTTATGTAATGCCTGTTATGAATTACTTTCTTGACAGCTATATGGAAGTGGTTTGTTTTTCTGGGATATTCCTCAACATTTGGTCAATTTAACCTACAGCCCTGGGCCTATCCAAGTATCAACCAAATCCAATTCTGTTTAGGTTATTTTGAGATCATCCATGATCAGCTGGGCACTACTCAAGAATTGCTTCAGGTTTTCTAATAGGGAACTCAAAGAAAAGAAGAAATATATACAATAAATAATATTTTCAACTAATCCAACATTATATAAAATCTCCAAAGTGAGAATTGAAAAATTGGATCTGCTCGTATGATTCAGTCATTGAGAGAGGGCTTATGAAAATCCCCACTCCCTCTTTGTGAAGTGTATAGAGATGATAGACCTCTCTGTATGGGGATACTTTCCCACAATACTTGTTTGCAGAAAATTCTCCTCCCAGGACTATATACAGCCCCCTAGTATGCTGCATCTGAAACCAGGCTCATTGTTCACTATAAAACAAACCTAGCATTCATCAGCTACTGTTGAGAATCAATACTTGAATTCTGCTTTCAGTTTTCTGTCTTTTTAGCTATCAAATAAGGACTGTACAAATAGAACATGTACTTGTAAGTCCCTGAAAAATTAGCCAGGCAGAATTAAACTAATAATGGATAGTAGTTCATTGTTCATAGTATCAAGTGTATGATCTGTACTAATACAGGAAAAATATAGTCACTTCATTCCAGCTATCTCACCTATATATTTTAAGAATGTCTTGTGTGAAACCCATGATACATGGCATTCAAAGTCACTTCTAATTGACTTTAACAAAGGCAAAAGCACCGTTATATTTTGGTTAGATTGCTTTTAGCAGTTCCAAGTGCATGATAGGAACATGGTCGTCAAGACTTGGAATGCCTTGCTAGGACAAAATAAAAACAACCTCTTGAAGGACTGTGTAGGGCACAAAGAGAGTTTCAGTAATACTAGACTCCAGATGACTATGCATATTTCTTCTATAATAATATTCTTACAATGGGTATATTTTAATGCTTTGTGTTTCTTCATAAGAATCTCTGGCTATGTCTATGAAGATACTCAGTCATCCAGGTCATGGTTGCCCTAAAAGTGCTTTTTCAATAGGAAATTGGACTTTTGGGACAATCTCTGGATATGTTTAAGTGGTTTGCAAAGCTGCTCTCATCAAGAGATACAGCTTCATACATCATACTAAGCCAAATGCCAAAAGTAAACTGAGAGTTTGTGTTTTATAGTAGCCAACCATCACCTAAAATGATCTGTGAATCAATTCACTGAGTGCCCAGTTTAATATATGAATCTATGGGATCTTTAGTGGTCTCTGAGCTTGGTGATTTTCTTGCAGACACTTCATTACCAAACTAGGTAACACCATCAGCATTCAGAGAGCACCTAGCTCAGAAAGATCCAAGGACTCTGCAGTCTAACCCTGAGCTACAAATATTCTCTTCTATAAGAAGCTATGTTAATTAATGTCATTTTTCATGGAATCACTTTTCTTACCTGGTCTTGGAACAGAGCACCACCAAAGGCCCAAACAGCAGCAAAGACAAAATAAAGTTCATAGAGATCTTTAGGGCAATCTGGAGGGGTATTCTCCTTGGTGAGGAGGCATTCAAGAAGATAACACAACATCTGAACCATGTTCTGTTCAGGAATGGGAATAATCTTCTTAAATCTATAATAGGATAATTAAACACTTGTGAAGTTTAATTGGATTTAGCATGTCTGACATTGAACAATGCAAGCAGATATCACATAAATCCTCTTTTCAACTCTTAACATTTTTAAAATGTTCATTGTTTATAACTTTCTTATCCACTGCTACAGAGTGGAATAAAATACCATCAGCACATAGCCAATAACTGTAATCATACATTTGAGTCATTTTAAAACGTTGATCCTCTTAAAAGAATTGAAATGGAAGTCTTGCAAAGGTCTGACCTACTACAAACGCAGTGAATTCAGAAGTGGTCAAATGAAAAGTATAATGAAACTGATCCTTTTATTTCATATTTTTAATAGGCTTTGGTTATGCTTACAAGTATGTGAACCCAAAAAAGAGGTACATATTGTAATCCTGTATTTTGCCAAACAAATGTAATAGATAAATCATTCAGATTGAGATCTTTCTAAGTCTTTAAAATAATAATTATAAATCAAAGGATTTAGGTATCATTCTTTGGCCTGGACATTCCTGGAGAGTGTCTTCCACACTTCTTCAAATTTGGATTGTTCCACAACTTTACTTTTCATGTGATTCTGATTCAAAATTTTAAAAATATGCCTAGTAGCTTGGACCAATAACTCTGCAGTTAGTAAAATATTGATTTGTTTGCTTTTTTTGTTTGTGAAATGTGTGTAGCCATCTGTCTCACCAAAAGTGGCTCTGGGTAGTGCACAATTGGATAGAAACAACAAATATAAAAAGAACAGATATAAAAAACAAAACAAAAATCTGCATTAAGAAATAAATAGGATAAAAAAGAAATATGCAAACCCTTAGGAAAAAAGGGGATATAAATGGCCACCTCAACAAAGGCGCCATCTAAGCATGTCTCTGGTTCCCTGGGAGCCCCAGGCATAACAACATAACCAGGTCTTGAGGGACTTCTGAAATATCAAAAGGGATGGTCTAATCTGATCTCAGGGGCAAGAAGGTTCCATAAGGCAGGGACCACAATAGGGAAAATGTGTCTCCTGGAGTTCACCAATGTAGCTGATCAAATATGCAGCATACCTTCTCTGCCAGATCTAGTAGAGCAGGCTGATATAACTAGGGAAAGGCAGTTCCTCAGATAACTTGGCACCATTCCATGAAAGGCATTAAAGGTTAAAACCAGCACCTTGAGTTGGATCCAGAAGTAAATTGGCAACCATTGCAGCTCATGGAACAGAGGTGCAACATGCGCTTCTCTAGGATTACACATAACTGCCCACGCTGCTACATTGTGTACTAGATGTATATTATCAATGTAATATACACTAATAAAGGCAGTAATAAAGGTAGATTAAAAATATGATAAATAAATAAATAAAATACAAGCACTGATGATGTTACCTTATTGGTCATGAAATGACTACAAGAAAACAACCAAGCTTAGAGTGCACCAATGGACCCCACAAACAAAATAAGCTTCCGGATACTCTTTCAAGGGCAGCCATATGTGGAGCACAAAATTCATCTGTGGCATTTTCAGCATTTAAAAAAGGTTTTTGATTATTTTTTCTAACTACAATATCTACTTTTTTTATGTTGAAGCAGTAGATCTATGTCTTAAATGTGTCCCAAAAGCTTAACTTACTAGTAGAACCTGTATTTTTTTCCCAACAATACCCCAAGGTCATTCTTAATATATTCTACCAAATAAGAATCTCTTATGAAGGAAGTACTCTGGTATTATCTGGGATTGAGTTGTGCATAGTTTTTAAACATCAAAATTAAACACAGTGGGAAATATCTGAATTAGCCCACACCAACTTGACACTCTAAAGCAGGAGAATTTTAAAAAAAATTTTTAGTCTAGAACAGTTTTAGTATATTTTCTATTGTTGGATTTTTTTAAAAAAAAAGAGTTCCATGTCATAAATTCTGTAATGTATGCTTATAGTACTTCTAGTTTTTCTGTCTAGCTGAGGATTCCGATTTAGACTGAATTCACCAGAAAGACTTAATGACAATGGTTTGCAAAATATATTTTTGAAGCAAATCAGTGAACTGCTTCAGAAATGTTCTTAGTAGGTCATAAAAACAATACCACTGGCTATCTTTATAATAAAAAATAAATACTCTCATTGCAAAATGCTCATCTTCCACATCAACTTTAGAATCACTGTTAAACTTAATAGATATCCCACAATTTTTATCAGATGCCTGCTAATAGAGGTTTATCCAGTCCAGCTCCCAGATCTCAAGAAGAGCTGCTCATCCAGGATTTCTTATAATATAACTATATCTGTTGCTATTTTTCCAGATTCTTACAAATGTGTCTGGTTTTTTTAAAATCTAAGTCTATTTATATTTCAGATGATTACTGTAAGTGCCATGTCTCCATGTAGATAAAATATTTCTCAAGGTCAATTTCCCAACATTACAGACATACTGTATTAAGCTTGACAAGTACCACATACATAAAAGGAGAACCTTTAAGTAATGAATATGGATCAAATAAAAAAAACATAAAACAAAAAAGTATCAAAATAAAGAAGATACCCTGCCCAATTAGACTATCACTAAAAATTAAAAAGAAAAAAAGCTTCCATCTTAAACCTTCCGTTTGACTTTAGATATTACAAGCACGGGGGCAAGCGGGGAGAGAGGGAGAGAGATACACGTTCCTCCTGCATTGGTAATAAAGACATAGAAATGGAAGCTTCTATATTCATAGAGTAGTAACAAGTTTTGAAAGAAAGAAAACGAAGAAAAGACAACCTTATTACTTATCAGACAAATGCAGAGCCTCTAAAAAATTCTCCAGCAACAGATGGGTTTTTAAATCTTTTGATCTCTTCAGGACAAAGGCAGATGATTGCTGGCTACAAAAAAAGTATTTCACATTCTTGTTCTTTGCTAATTGCGTGCCAAAGCAAAGCCTCTTCTTAAATTTGACATTTATGAAGGAAGATATGGAGAATCATTATTTAATATTCATGATATTTCAATTCAGTGGTTTATCTATTAAGTGGTAGAATGGTCTCTGGTGCTGGACTTCAGAAATTTAACAATTATAGGGGCTAATGACCCTGAGGTCCATTAGGGATCTTGTCTCTTGTTTTTCATCTGTAAGCAACCAGTATTTCAAGTTTAATGTCAGCTGGCAATAAGATTTGCTGAAAATGTTCTTTCAACTAAATGAATAAATGAATCTTTTCCTCCACATCCAGAGGTAGAGTTCTTATTTTTAAGTTATTTCTTATCAGATGTCCATGAACTTTAAATCAAAGGATTTGCAGATGTGCAATGAAATTGTTCCTTTACATCTAAAATGCTAAATTTGGTTTCATGAAATGTGACAATAATTTTCTCCAAAGTTCCCAAACCTTTGTCAACTTTAATAAGTTGGGCTTTCACAGTTTTAAATTCCCCATGGATCCCTGATATGCCAGGTTCCAGGCTCATAAATATACAATTGATCTGTTTAGGAGTTAAACAAAGGTTCACTTTTCATTCAAAGCTCATTATTTCTTCTTGTGGAGGTAGTGATACATTTGGGATTAATGTAGCTTTGTCTTATCCAACAGAGTCAGGGGAAGTATCTATGACACCATCTGTCTGTGGAGTGCAGTAGAGGGTGTAACTCATTCAACTTTCTTCCCTCTCCATCATCAGGAGTGGAGCTCTTTGGGATGACTGAGAGAGAGCCAGCTTCATCACTTTATGAGACACTAAAGAGTTGTTAAAAGAAACTAAGAATTTAGTTATAGATCACTCACCAATGTGTAATCAGTTCTGTTGAAAGGATTGGAGCCAGATAAAAGAAAGTAACTGCCTAAGTAGCCATCAAAACCAGAAATTCACAAAACAGCTTTAAGTGTGAAGATCCTCATGAAGATCCTCCCACATATTTGCGATCACAGTACTGAGAGAGGCATTTTTATGCTTTTATCTCAGGCAGGAAAATATAATTTACCAGCCCTGTCACTCCATCTTCAGAAGTTAGCTCAAGTTGTAAATTCCTGAGGATTACTCACTCCCCTATGAATAAGTCTTCAAACAATAGGTGCACTACTGTATGGGATTCCCATGGTATTATGCTATTACATGAATAGACTCTGTAAATAAGTGTTGCATGTCTTAAGGTGAGCACAGATATAGAAAATTCTTGTCTACCATCTAGTCTCTCTCTCTCTCTCTCTCTCTCTCTCTCTCTCTCTCTCTCTCTCCCCTCCCTCCCTCTTTTCAGCTCAGCTCTGATCACCCTATTCCATTTTTTTATAAGAAGAATGGAACAATCTCCAATCCATAAGGTTAACACAGAATTCTAACAAGAAATGAACTGCAGAAAATTAATGAAGGCCAACCACATATTAGGAGACATTTGCAAATATGTGCTTCTTATCATCACTTAATAAAAACTCATATTAAATGCAATGCAGTAAACAAATTATGCCAACTTTGTCCTAATGCTGTTGCACCGTACCTGGTTCGAAGTGTATCCAGACAAACTGGCAAATACTTGTCAAACAAAATGGTCAGGTTAGCTCGTTCTGACTGAGTTTCTCTTCTGTCAATCCAGCTACTTACTGGAGGATTCCAGCCTAGATCAGCTGGGTTGATATAAAGGATCCCTAGAGATGTAAAATAGTGGGGTTAGTCCTAGAATTTCCACCTCTAAGTTACTGTAGAAAGTCCCCTGAAAGTTAAACCTATCTCCTGGTGATTTCATGGATGTGTCCATGTTGTTTCTCTAACAAAAAAAATGGAAGTGGGTAGTTAATGCCTACTTCTAGGATATATTTTTTCCAACCTTGTATATAGTCCTGAGATTTCGTAAGTACTTCTATCCGAGTACTAACTGGGTTTGATCCTGTTTGACAAAATCATCCAGATACTACCACATGAGAAGCCAGAGAGACTATAATGTAATACATTGACAAACTCTTAACTCGCTTAAACCAGATGGATTAGAATGTACAATAATTGCCAAAATCTTTCAGAGGGACTGGTTATGCACTAGCATTGGCTTGTTTGGGAACCTGGATTTATGCTCTAAAACTAAAGTATGAATCTACAGTTGGATACTAGGTAAAATGCATTTGGGATCAGTTTTGCTTTAAACCAAGCAAATCTGAAAGGCATGCATTTTAATACAAAGGCTCCCTTGGTATGAGTGCAGATACTTAGATAAGTGCTACAATTTGTGACAAAACTCGATAGGCAGAACTTGTAGCATTCATTATTATCTGTGATAACAAAAAGAGCCCAGAACAAGGGCTGGAGTCAGCTGGGAGGAGTCAGAAAGATCAAGATAGCATTACACTCACACAATCCACCCCACTTTTTTTCCTACATGCATCACCTCCCTGTAGATATCCTGACACGTACATGCACCAAAAACTAAACAAATCAGAGTTGGTAATCACATGGACCTATCTATTGTTGTTGTTAACTGTAATAAGCTTGGATAAAAGGCATCATGTTCTTAAACATCACATTCTTAAGGTTTTAAGACAATCCTCTATATCCAAATTTAACCTCTAATTTCCTCTGGGCTCAAATTTCTCTAAATGCAAAGAATAACAAATATATATTCTTTAGTCTAGCCTTCCTTTATCAGGTGACTAACAATGGAGTTTAATACGTATGTGTGTTTGTTTTGTTTGTTTGTCTGAACAGCATAGATACATTTATCTCATGGCAGTGATTGATGCTTAGCATAGCCAGTCCCTCTGTAAGATTATGGCAATTATATCTCTCAACATCTCAGATGGTCACTAGATTTCCCAAAGTCAAGCTTGATTACTTCCATATTTTGCCATGCTAAGGATAAAGCTGCCTTCTTTCTTTCCTCTGTCAACTACCTGCTCTGGACACAGTGGCTGGAGTGGCAGTCCGCAGGTGACTGATCTCAAACAGAAGCCTCATGGTGGGGTTGAGCGGGATCCGTTCATTGCTTGCTAGTGTTAATACCTGAAAAAGAAGGCATCCAGATTGGAAATTCAAAGCAAAATGTGGCCCACAGCAACCACTTGGAAAAAAAGTGTATAAAATGTATAGCAATAGCACTTAGACTTATATACTGCTTCACAGTGCTTTACAGCCCTCTCTAAGCAGTTTTACGGAGTCAGCATATTGCTCCCAACAATTTGGATCCTCATTTTACCCACCTCGGAAGAATGGAAGGCTGAGTCAACCTTGAGCCTGGTGAGATTCGAACTGCCAAATTGCAGGCAGCCAGCAGTCAGCAGAAGTAGCCTGCAGGACTGCATTTTAATCACTGTGTCACCATGGCCCATACGTCACATTATTTATCCAAAGAGGGCTTACTAAAATGTCTTATAAACTATAAAATCATAATTATTTTAAAGCATCATAAATTAAAAGAACCAGCAAGACAACAAGGCAAAACAGTGTTAAATTAAATGATGCAATTATGAAATCAGTTTATTTAAAGGAATATGGTCTTGAATTGGCCATGGAAGATAATCTGATCCTTCAGCAGGGAAGTCCCACCCTAGAAAATGTTCTCAACACATAGGCTTAAGAAAGCAATGAAACATGTTAAGGAGCCAATACAGCTGAGCTTCAATGGAGCTCTCCTACAATTTTTCTCGAATGTATTGTGGTTTAAAAGGTATTGAAGAGCAACTTCAATTAATTCAGAAAATGGCCTGGTGGTGAACATATCTGGCAGAATAAATGGATGATCAAACCCTAACAGCTCACAACATTTTAACAGCAACAACATTCTGTACTAATTCTCAAAGGCAGCCCAACATAGATCATTAACCAGAGGCATCTGCAGAGGGAGTTGAAAAGAGTAAAAAGTGGCAGCCTTGCTTAGAGAATTGAAGACCTTGCCCACATTGCCCATTCCCTGTAGAAATCCTATTGACAACACTTCAATTGCTCTAGTAGTAAATGACAGAAGTCTTGCAATCTGTTCTTTACAAGACTCACAGAAAGAGCATGTGTGATTTTCAGAAGCATTGCCCAAAGGAAAGGGGTACTTAATACTATTTGAAAACATTATTCTGAAAACTCAAGGTAGATTTTCGAAAACTCAGTCAAACATTATCTGGTTTAATTTGTTGTAACTAAAACTGCCATAAACTTTATCCACAGCTGTTCTATATCCTACATTTAAAAATATTCATTACCTTTGAACTTGTCTTTTACCTTATTGTCATCCATGACAGTATTGAGAGATTCAATCCACATTGGATCAATATCACCATCCAACACAATCCATTTGGGACCGTCATGGGTAATGTTGGCTAAATCTCGCATAATCGATGAGAACAATCCTAAAGACATCACAGGCATCCTTTCTACTCTTAGTAGTAACTCACAAAAGTTTTAATCAACATGCATGCAAATGAGCAAAGGAAAACTAGATGCAGTTAATTAAATCTGGTAATTAAAAAAACAACAGGATATGAATAGAATTGCAGTCAAGAAGAAATGAAGAATTATTATCAAATAAATAATAAATATCTCATTGAAAAATAATCTCACATCACTTTACACAACTGAGACTGATAGAGCAATAAAAAAACTACCCTGGGCATTCTTATTAAGAAAAAAAAGGAATGTAAAAAAAAGAAGAACTATGGTTTTGAAAAAGATTTTGCTACTGCTTTACTCATTCTCCCTAATTCTTCAACTCAATATTATTTTCATAGAAAGAACATAAATACAGTCAAAGGTTTGCACATTTATATCTCTGAAAAATTACAGAATGTTACTAGCACAAAAAATATTCTTGTTTTCCACTATGGGGAATTTCTCTGAAAAAATTTTTTAGGTGCAGATGTATTTTAAATACTCACACTTCAAAATATTGATTCATTTATTCAGTTTGTATAGCCTCCCATTTCAAACAAGAGACTCAGGGCAGCAAAAACACCTTTGCATCATGATATCCGTGAAATATGTATATATAAAATTCTGACCATTTATAATATAACTGCATATTCTCTGTATGGCCATAGTTAATGGACTATTTCCTAGATGTCTCTCAATCATACCTTGAAGCTGTTTTGTTCCAGAGCAACTCAAAGCAAACACTTAGAGGTCAGATTTTTTTGTGATTTGGCAAGTTTAATAAAAAAAAATTATATAACCCTTTTATTGGATGTCAATGCATAGCCATAATCTTACCATCTTTCCATTCTCTTGTAGATGGATTTATGATGCCAAAGAGTTCATCATTCGTCACTGCTTTTGGATTGAGGTCTGTCCAAACAGGTCGCCGCTTCATGATATGATAAGTCTTGTTCAGAGATTTCAGCACTTGTGACTTGCCTGTGCCTGCGTTGCCCACTACAAAGACGGAGTGTCGAACAGCAAGGAGCTCTTCAAGCTGTACTACCTTGAGTAAGAAGCCAATGAGAAAAAAACACCACATTGTTTTATTTATTTTTTATTTATTTCATTTGGTTTGTCAATTACTTACAAGATAATAGATATAAGTAAAAACATAGTTATGAATACATGGATACATATAAGAAAAATAGAAGAAACAATAGGACAGGGATGGTAGGCATGTTGGTGCGCTTATGTACGCCCCCTACAGACCTCTTAGGAAAGGGATGAGGTCAATAGTAGAAAGTCTAAGGTTAAAATTTTGGGGGTTTGGGGAAGAAACCACAGAGTCAGGTAGAGTATTCCAGACATTGACCACTCTGTTGCTGAAGTCGTATTTCCTGCAATCAAGTTTGGTGCGATGTATAATTTTATATACTACACTTAGATCGGACCAAAGGTGGCGTAGTTCTAGATTTTCTAAGTCTAGAATTTCAAGTCTGGTGGCATAAGGTATTCTGCAACAAGTAGAAGAGTGGAGAACTCTTCTTGTGAAATATTTCTGGATTTTCTCAACTGTGTTAATATCAGATACGTAATGTGGGTTCCAGACTGATGAGCTGTATTCGAGTATTGGTCTAGCAAAAGTTTTGTATGCTCTAGTTAGTAGTGTAATATTACCAGAGAAAAAGCTATGCAAGATTAGGTTAACAACTCTTAATGCCTTTTTGGCTATGTAGTTACAGTGGGCTCTAGCACTTAGATCATTAGAGATGAGTACTCCAAGATCCTTGACAGAGTTTGGATCATCAACAAGGTCTTGACTATTCAGCCTGTATTTTATTTTCTGATTATTATTTTTTTGCCAATATGTAAGACAGAGCATTTATTTGTTGAGATTTGAAGTTGCCATTTGTTTGACCATTCTGATAAATAGTCGAGGTCTTTTTGAAGGGTAGCAGCATTGTTTGTGGTGTTGAATAGCTTTACATCATCAGCGAAGAGAACGCAGTGGCTCTTAATATGGTCACAGAGGTCATTAATGTAGAGTATGAAGAGAGTTGGTCCTAGAACACTGCTGGGGGACACCACTGTTGACAGGTACAGAATTTGATAGGACGTTTCCAATTTTGACCATTTGTTTTTCTGTTTGACAGGAATGCTTCTATCCAGTTACACGGATGTCCAGAGATACCATAAGATTTTAGTTTTAGGAGTAATTTGTCATGTACTACTGAATCCAAGGCTTTACAGAAGTCTATTTAGATTGCATCCATTGTCTATTGTAGATTGTGCTCATACTTATTACTTGCTATGCAGACAATTGCTATGTATACACTTCAAAATAAACTGAACAGCTGAGTTCCACAACTGGTTAACAGACGCAAGCAGAACAGGATAAAACAAAAATATAGTAAGAAAAACCATGCCAGAACACGGGGGGGGGGGGGACAAGTCCACTATTTGGTGGCGAATCATTAGCATTTTACTTATTCTCCATGAATGTGTCTAATTTGCTTTAAAGGTTTACTAAGTTGATGTTAGAAAAGTCTAAAAGTTAACTCTGCTGCATAAAGAACATCATTTTCTTTGCCCTGAATCTCTCAGTGCTTAAACTTTATATGATGAGCCAAAGATCTAGAATGCTGATATGTCTTCGTGTTTCATTTTTTTATCATTTTCATATCCCCTTTTATTTTCTTTTACTATGCTAAGTGGTACAAAGCATTGAAACAATTCCTTGTGAGGGCATTCAATCATTCTGGTTGCTATTTTCCAATATTTAGCAGACCTACAATAACCTTTTTGAGGAATAAAACTGGGAGACCATGAATTTAAATCCTGCCTTAGCCATGAAAGACAGCTGGGTGATGTTGGACGCGTTATTTTCTGTCAGCCCAACCCACTTCACAGGGTTGCTATTGTGGGAAAAATAGGAGGAGGAACAAGTATTAGATATGATGACCTCTTTAAGTTGTTTGTAATAAAGGTGGGATTCAAATAAATAAATATTTTAACATGTTTGCATTACAGAATTCTAGAAAAGGTTTACAATTTGCTTTCAATTCTTCCCTAATGTTCATAAATAAAGAAATAATAATAAAACACTATGGGGTAAAGAGTGAAAAATCTGAAGAACTGTCAATGCAAAATACTACGCCAGTGATTAGTAATTAAATGGATACATTATATACATTCACAGGTAAAGGTAAATGTTCCCCTCGCACATACATGCTAGTCATTTCTGGCTCTAGGGGCAGTGCTCATCTCTGTTACAAAACTGAAGAGCCAGCATTGTCCGAAGACATCTCCATGGTCATGTGGCCATGGTGCACGGAATGCTGTTACCTTCCCACCAAAGTGGTCCCTATTTTTCTACTTGCATTTTTACATGCTTTCAAACTGCAAGGTTAGCAGAAGCTAGGACAAGTAACAGGAGCTCACTCTATTACGTGGCCGCTAGGGATTCGAATCACTGAACTGCCGACCTTTCTGATTGACAAGCTCAGTGTCTTAGCCACTGAGCCACCACGTCCCTCTTTATACATATACATACATACTTACAAATATACATACATATATACATACATACATATATTCCCTTTTAAAGTAGACAAAAGAAACTCCTATCTAAAAAAAAGTAAGAAAATGAAAGCATTTTAGCTACAGTCTGAAGGCTGAATAAATGAAAGTCACAATCTTACTTTGAGTACAAAGTTGTCCTCCGGTTGAAGTTTGAGTTCCAGCACAGCTTGTTTTACAAAGGATTCAGAATTGAGGTCTCGTTTTCTTGGGACATCCAAAGCAGGAAACAGGTCTCCAATCAGACCCATGAAGACTGGCATGTCATCTGTCACAATCTTTGGAATGTTAAAGTCCCGAAGAGAGCGCATCAGAACCTGATCTTCAGGACGATCAGGGTCTCCTCTCTTGAGGGACCCGGCTACAACCAAGACTGATTTGATTGCACGTAATCCCCAGTCATAATGATCCTAATAAGGAGGAGAAAAGAAAGAAGAGGATAACTCCTTTCAACTCATACACATACCATGCCTGAAAGTAAAGATCTCTGCATATCTCCACATGCTATCAAAGGAGCAGAAACTCTTGCCTTGATCCTCAATTTCCTGTGGAAAGGACCTGAAACCCAAACTTTCTTGGAACTATCAAGGTTAAGGAAGTGATATCTGGAGGCAACTGATATAATGGACTTGATAAGAAATGTTGAAAATTAATACTGTGCCTGGAAGATCCTAATTCCAGAAACAGTAAAATCCAGATCCCCTACACCTTAATTATTTGGAAAATTAAAGCAATTTAGATAGGAATAAAAACAAGGAGAACAATTGTTCCTACTTTATATTCTAGAAAGTCTTGGAAAAATAAATATATGCATAATGTATCACTGAAGCTGTTCTCAGAGCTAAAAATTGTCTACATCTGATATGATATAATTATTTAAATTTACTTACCTGCTTGGAAAGAAGTTCCTTGCATAACTGATAAAGGGTAATGAACTTCCTAGCTAATAACCGGGCTTCGATAAATCCTTCAGCCACCAGCATAATTTCACAGATCAGTTCAAAATCTGGTACAACCATTGCACAAGGTCTAGAGAGGAAAAAATCCACAAAATGCACCGAGAAAGTACCTTATACAACACCAAAATGTTTGTCCATTTACCCTATTCATATGATCAACTGAGAAGGTTTTCTGGATTTGAGGGATATTTCTTTTGTCACATCACCTATGGATAATGCTCTTCAAGAAGTAGAACCTGGAACTTCTATATACAAAGAATGCTCTATAACTTTGAATTGTACTCTTTTACCTTCATTTCTGTTCTCCTTTCAAATATTAAACAAGATAAACTTGAAGACTTCACAAATTAACAATACTTCCCCTGACCTGCTGCAGTAGTATTTAAAACTATTCATCCAGTTTCGCATATCTAGAGTTCAAATAAAAGTAAAATTTCTTCAGCGTTAGTAAAGGTGGATACTATGTTCTATGTTATCACATAAAACTATCAGAGAAAGTTGGAAGGGAACTACAGATCATCTTTTTTTTTTCTAACAGTGCTGGAGGGGAATGTATGCCAATGGTTGACCACAGAAGTATATAGAAGATATGCATACGTTGCAAAAGGCTGAGGACTGTGTAGAATTTAGGGCTGTTATTTGTATCACTGGACATTGTGGAAGCAATTTGCTATGACTGGTTGGAGGTGACAACATCAAGGACCTCCAGGGTGAATGTTTCCAGTATGATTTTAAAAAAGAAACAGGAGTTGGACCTGGTTTCCTATCTTCATTTGCAATCGTTGCCTCCTTGCTGTCAGTATGGCAGGCCACCCCAATGTTTCTCCATGAGACAGGTGGCCAAGGAAAACCATAAGAATTTTATGGACTTCCCCAGCCAAATGATAGGGCCACCTCTGAAGGTTAGTGATTGGACATACAGTAGCAGGCAGTGAGGCAATCTAAATAACATTGGGTATAATATAATGACTATCTTTTTAGGGGCTGGTTAGTGCTCTGAAAGCCCTCCATTCTTGCCTCTTTCTACATTTTTAACCTTTATATACTGTTTTTATATTTTAATATTTTATTGTGCACTGGAGCAGAATCCCTCTATGAGGGAGGTGACTGAATAGGCTTTTTCGTATTGCTAAATCACACTGCTCCCTTATTTATTCACATTCAACTTGCTTACAATCACCAAGATTCCTATATCATGTTTCCAAGGCAAGGTCCCCCAAATCTGACCCTGTGCATTTGATTTTTTTTTTTAACAGTTACAGGATTTTTACAACTGTCACCAGTGAACATCATGCTGTCAGATATGACACAATGATCAAGCCCATTGAGATATTTTTTTGGTCTGATTTTTGTCTTCAATTTCTGTGTTATCAGCAAATTTAGCAAGCCTTCTTTGCATTTCATTTTTAAGTCATTTATAAAGGTTTTGAATCACACAGGTCAAGGAAGGATCCTGGGAATCCTGCTTTCCTTAGGGCAAAGCAGAACAACATCAGAGAATCGTTTGGGTGCAGTTGTTATCAATCTGTTGCCTAACTTTGCTTTATCTTGAAAGAGGTTGGTCAGGATTGGAACAAAGTGTCCCCATATATTTGATTGTATTTAACCAGTAGGATCTCTTAATCATCAAATAACTCAAGCCAGGATAATCTAAGCAAAACCCCAAAACAGTACAAAATGGATATGCTTTGATGGTCACTGTCCCATAACTAGCAAATATTCTTTGTGCATTCTCTGTCCATTCTTTATTTGCACCTGCTGGGATTTATGACCATCGTTGCTGCCAGAGAGAAGATTTAACACATCTCAGCACAGGACAGAAATTCCCCTACTCGCTTGAAGAAATAGAATCAATAACTCCGGTGTTTCCACGCTGCCCCCTCTATACTATGTGTCAACTCAATCTCATAACACCTCCACTCATATGAACTCTGAGGAAATAGTGCCCTCCTTTTAGCTGACAGGTCACGAGACACTTCCAGAAGAACACTAAATTTATAGCAATTGCCATCACTATTACATGCTCAATTGTTTAGCAATTGAGGAAACCTTAAAACATTTTCTGTAAGCATTTTGGCTATTTATAATGTGTTTTGCTGTTTTCTGCTACATTTGTTTTTGGTCTTTGTCCATTAAAACAATTAAACTACACTACACTAAATTACGCTGAACTAAATTCCAACTGTTGCCATGAGGAATGAGGTAAATACTTTTAATAAACCACAACTACAAATTTCACAACATTAGGGCACCGCCTCACCTAAAAAGAGCCTTCAAATTCTCTGGCAGTTCTGTACGTCCTGCATAGCCTGGATTCATAGTTATGAATATACCAACCGAAGGAACTAATTTAATATCTTCTCCAAGGAAATTAAAGTTCTGTTTTTTGTCTCTTATAGCATCCTGTATGCTTTTCACCTGACAGTAAGAGAAGATAGTTTGTTAACAAGCTTAACTGATTTAACAAATCGTATCAATTTTTAGAACAAAGAGAAATAATGGTTCTATAGATTTTACTTGATTGGGCTGCCTGCTTATAAGCTAATGCTGGGACAGTCATGAGTTGGCCATTATCTGCCCAAAATAGAAAAGAACTTAAATTAAGTTTGCTTTTAAAATCATTTAATACGCTGTAACTTGAATAATACCTAAGAATGATTAAAGTTGAGGAATTCTTCAATCCTGATTTTCATTTTTAATTATGTATCTATCATTAAAGCATAATGTCAAACATAACATATAGAAACTACAAGTTTTCTTAAACTATTCAGTGCCTGAACCTTAACATATCTTGTAGCAAAGGATATAGTTTATAGATGGTATCTCTTGAATAACTCCTGTTATTAAAACCTTAAGAAAAAGACAGATCTTTTCATTTCTATGCATTTTTAATCAAGTTCTGAATAAGAAGAATAAACTAGATGGAAGCAATAATATTCTAAAATCAGATAACATTTGCATATTTTTACCAAGTTCTTTCACCCTTAATATTACCTACAGTCCCATAAAACCTTTCACAATTTCACAGTTATTAGAATAAAAATACCAAGATAGTTGTCCTTGAAGAAAATTAATTCTAATTATAACTTTGAGAAGATACTCCTAATTCAAAAATGGTAGAGCTATATATTATCAACATTATTATAGGCAACTTTGTGTCAAGCTGCTTAATAGTTATAATTACTGAATATTTATATCCATTAATCACTAAAGAGAAATTCTGAGTAGATTTTTGGCCACATATTATAAAGTTCTATGACTCTTTGCACCTTGAGCTCCTCATTTCAAAAGATTAAAAATGTGGAAGAAATTTCTTGACCATTTCACAAATTTCAAGAAGTACATGCAATTGCTGTCCTCATCCTCCAGATCTGACAATTTTTCTATAGACACTTAATTAAAAAACAGGAAACTTCAGCAATCCAGAAATGGGTTCCCAAGAATAGAATATTTGAAACTGTGTGACAATTTTCTTCGGGCAAACAAAAGCAGTAAATTCCAAGACTGACTTCTACCAGGGAGGAAATACAGCCAGCATGACTAAGAAACCTCGCACAGATAATGATATGAGTATTAACCCAAAAGAGCACACCACTGCTGAGGGAAAGAATGGATCATTTAAAAAGATCGTTTACATTGGAACCTATACCCACATTTGTGGTCAACATGGTCAAATGGGACCAGAGTCTTTCAACCGTCCTGCTACCCCCCCTTTTTTTTAATTGCATTTAGGAGATATGTTTTACCTACCTGTACAGCCACAACTGAGAGAACCTCAACAGAGATCCTGTTAAACTCATCAAAACAGCCCCATGCGCCCGTCTGGGAAAGACCTTTATAAATGTTCCCACAAGACTGCAAGAGAAGGAAAGATGGTAGTGAAATTACCCATAGAATCTGTTTAGTGAAGAGCATGTAATCTATTTCCTACTTCATAAACAATTTAGGAGGTTCTCTAGACGTTGATTACAGAAAGATGGAATGGAACATAGAAGTTGCATTGACAAATATGAATCATGTGTATTTCTCAAGTGTACATCTTTATTACATAGGGGAATGCTCGTCTCAAGGATTTTTTCTGGTCCCCTCCACATAGCAGAGAGTTACTGTTAGATCAGGTAGATCGGTTCCAATCAGAGATGCAAGACCAGTGTACTTCAAGCTCTTTATTTCATTGTATAGACCTGTACAAGATCTTGGAGCCACGGCAGCCCTTCATATAGGGATAGCTCGTGGCTCGTCGGCCAATGACAATACTTTGAATCTCCCGCAATCGGCTCAGCCAATCGTGGTCGATTCCAAGTAAACCAATCATGGTTGTTGAGTGGGCCAATCAGAATGCAGTTTGTGTGGACCAATCAGAATTTACCTTTTGGAGTATGTTAATACAGAACAGTTACCAATTCAAAAGAAGGAATAATTTTTTAATTAGATCATTTTTTATTAACCTTTAGAGAAGTCACCTGCTGTGTTAAAGGTGGGATTCAAATTGCTTAACAACCGGTTCTGTGGGCATAGCCTAATTTGTGGGTGTGGCTTGGTGGTTATGTGACTGCCTGGGCATGTCTTGTATGTAAATATAAAAAAATATTTATGTAAATATTGATTTTTTTTTTATTAAAAAGGAGAAACTTTTACCCAAAATCAGGCAAAGAAGGCAGGCAGATTGAGTTGCTCACAGAATCACAGATTCACTCAGATCTATCTTTCTACCATTGGCTACCTGAGCCTGTCACATAAAATTTGCTTGCAAGCAAACCCATAAAATTTGCTAGCAAGCAAACTCACAAAATTAACTCAAAACACACTATGTATGTACATATTGATTTTTTTATAAAAAAGAGCAACTTTTATCCAAATCAGGCAGAGTAGGCAGGCAGACTGAGTTGCTCACAGAATCACAGATACACTGTGTCAATCATTTTTCAGCCATTACCTTATAATCCATTTGCTCTGAACAGTTGAACACATATACCATGATGCCAAGAGCTCGGCCCAGGTCTTTGGTGGTCTCAGTTTTCCCAGTACCAGCTGGCCCTGCAGGTGCCCCACTCATTGTTAGGTGCAATGATTGCGTGAGTGTGATATAACATCTTCCAGGTACAAAGAGGAAGGAAAGAATAGAAAACAGAAACAAATAAATTTGGTTGCATACTTTTATCTAATTCTATTTTTACTGATAACCCACCAAAGTCTCCTTTACAACTTTAGGAAGAAATAAAATACACTCCATAGAAAATTTGTACAAGGAGATGAAATTGAGTGGATTACAATGCTGGAATAACATCAAGCAAATCAGTCTATATTCTTTGTAACCATTCAGAAACAAAGTGAGTTGGCTTCTCTCTGATGAGGTAAGCAAATTCAGAAACACTGTGAATCCTACAGATAGTAATGGAAAAGGACCCTTTTTTTAAAAAAAGTATTTTTATTAAATGATTTTAAAGATTTTATTGAATAAAAAAGCAGAGAGGAAAGAAGATAGAGAAAAGAAAAAAAACAGAAAACATGAAATGCACAGGCACACACATGCGGCTTCTAAACATCCCCTTAGCAATTATACTGTACATAAATTCTAATCAAATCACTTGCTCCATGATTTCATTGTAATTCCTTCCTTTCTATAACCTATATTTTCTATTCATCAAAAATACAAATCACAAAATCATTTTCTTTCTTACACAAAAATCTATAAGGGACAGTCATTGATGAATGTCAATAATGACCATTCTGATAAAAGCAGTGCTGTTTGTTTTATTGGCAACTTATTTAAAGCATTGCCATGTCACATAAAATCCTCACATCTGTTCCATATCTTTCGGCAGTTCTTCTTCCAGGTCCAAGAAGAGGAAATGTCTTTAAGAAAGACAGCCGCTGGATCTGAATTGAATCGCTTCTAATCAAGACTTACAAGCACTACTTCCTATTGGAAAATACATGTTTTAGCAAAAATAACTCTCTCACACACACACACACAAGTTCTATAACAACCATCCAAGCTTCATGGCACTTTATCAATAATGTTTTCTCTTCCATGAAGTCATATAGACCCCTACCTGTCTGTTAGAGGAGTGATAACTAGTCGTGGTGTGTTGCCAAGATATTCGTAAGAATATAGAAACTGGGCATCACAAATATTTGCGTAACAGTGTTTTTCTTCTTCTGCCCACCTGTGTCGGAGTTGTGATAGCCAAAGAAAGACCTGTGCATTGTCCACCTTTAAATGCAAAAATATGAATATGAATAAACAAAAGATTCAGCCTAAACTCAGACATAATTCATAACTTTAATAACTACTTTATTAATTCATAACTACTCCCTGTACTCCTTTCCTACTCTACATTTAAATTACATAAGCTCTCCTAAGTTATTTTTTTAACTGAGAAAAACAGAGCCTGAAACCTCCATGCATTTAAGATCCAGATCAGTGAAAATATCCCTTCAAAATAATCCCATTGCTACTTTACTAATTTGTCATTTTTGTTTGCAGAGCCCAACTTTAGCACAGCGAGAACTACTGTACACTTATCCCACAATAAATAATGGGCAAAAGTGATAATGCTGTTCCTCATGTTGCAGGACAAACCTTTTGGGCAATCATCTTCGCCACCACATCTCGAGCGTGCACATCAATGGTGCAGATGGTCATGATCTTCTGCCTGTCACCTTTAGAAAGATGTCCAATAAGCATTGTGATCAGGGTGTTGAGCTGTGTCACCTGTTTCTTATAACAGTCCTTCATGGCATTTTCATAGCCTTCTTCCAGCCTGGCAAAGGCAATCCCTACCTCTGTGCTCCACCAGATTTGTGTACAAGTCAGTGCCACCTGGGGAAAGAAAAGCAACTTAGCTTCCTTCACAGAGTCACTAGCAACTGATGTGCTACTGGACCAATTTCTGTGCGCGCGCATAGGTGTATGTTCATTTACAGAAAAATAAAATGGGAAACATATCAGGTAGCAAAAAGTATAATCAAAAAGAATATCTGCAGAGGCCTGCAAATTAGTACTCATGGGCAAATCCTCCAAAACATGTATTTGTTCTAGCCATTTCTATCCCCTTTCATATCATAACTGTTTTCCTAACTTTATGGAAAATATTAATAGGGAGTAGCAACTCATCGAATAAAAAATAATCTACAAAGGAAGAAAGAAGATCAAGTCAAAGACAATGACAGGGCAGTTTTACAGTCACATAAAGGCTAAATGGTCAGGGCATAATCTAAAAGCTGAGATTAAATATTTCTGATCTTAAATATATTATTTCTTGCTACCACCTGCTTTAGGTAATCTATGAGAAGCCAGTAAAAAAACTCCTAAGAAGCATGAAATAGAGCTTAATGTCCATAAATGTCATGGGATAGAAGCAGGATGTTAATAAGTGTGAAGTAAACCATTAGGAGGGCATAATTAAAATGGATAGAAAAGCTTGCACTGTGGACTTACGTAGAGAGCTATGGGAAAACTCTGAAATATTCAGACTATTTCTTTAAAAAATGAAAAATAAATCAACCGGGCTTTTGTTCGGTGTCTGGTATCTAAATCAAGTTCAGACTAGAAAAGCAACCTTTGCCCAGTATATTATAAAAAGAAAACCGTTTTCCCCGAGCCCTTATTTATTAGATGCTTGGAGGAAATGGCTTTTCTTTTCTTTTTGAAGCAAAGCAAAAACTTCTGAGCTGTAAAGCCATTTGATAATCTTTAGGCGTTGGCAGCCTGATTCTCGTAGCACTGATCTGGCTCAAGAGCTATTAAAGTCGAAACAATGTTTATAGAGGGAGCAAAAAGGTTAAACATTTAACAGTTAAACTTTTACTGGTGGCCTTTGTTTTTGTTTTGTTTCCCAGGATTTGGCACTGACTTTTTCCCCCTACTGGCTTAACACAAAAGCAAGGCTGCTGGCCCTGTGATAGAAACTTCATTTCCCATTATTTTCACAGCATTGCCCTTGACAATGACCCTGTAGGTTGTTCTTACTCTCTAAACTCCAGTACATGAACCAGGGTCAAGCAAGATACCTGCTGGGTTCCTATGTTGTCATAAGCCACAACATGCTTGTTTACTTTTGGCTCAAAATGTTATGGTTACAAAAATCATGGCTTAGTGCAATGTGTAAATGGTAAAGGTCATATTTATTTTAAATATCTTCTCTTAACCATCAAACTTATCAAGGTCTAGAGAAGAGATGGACAATCGTTTGTTCAGGCCTGCCCTTAACATCGGGGAAGGAATGGGGGTCATACACTAGACTTGGCTACATCACCTACTAGACTAAGATAGTAATTTATGAATAGATGGGAGAGTTTCAGGGCTTTTAATACTGAAATATTGATTGTAGATTTTATAATATAGTGTTGTTGTTTTTCCTGCAACCCTGCATGCCGCCAATTCTCAGCAGTGGTGGTTCCAGGAAGGGAAGGGGGCGCATTGAGAATGAGAGGAAAATGATTCGACATCTGCAAACAGAAGCTAAAGTGGCTCTAAAGTATGACTGATAGACTGACCATTTGCAGTAGAGATGAAAAATGTTCCATATTAGAGAGTGCATCTGTCTATTCCATCTCTCTTCTGTATATGCTGGACTTACAGAAGCTGGCATTTTCAATCTACCGTGACAAGCAACTGGCTGGGAAATCCAAAACTAGCAATCCTATTTATCAGGACTGGAGCTGGCTTGCTTGGGGAAAATTGGAGCAAATATCATTTGCTCTTAAAATATATATATATATATATATTACGCATTGTTCCTCAGAAGGAGAAGCAAAGCAATACCTGGGCAGGATAGTCAAACAGCCACTGTTCCCTTGCCTTTTCCTCATAAGCCACCACAGCCTCTGTCATCTCATGCCTTACAGTGGCCCGCATACAATCCAACACACGGTTCAGCCAGCACTCCACCTAGAGAAGGAAGTGAAAAAGTAAGTCAGTGGGCATCTACAACATGTCCTTCTCTGGAAATACCAAATGCTGTTGCTGGACACCCTTCTCTGGAACAGATCCCAATTGCTGCACCACATGAGATATATATATATATCTATATCTATATATATATGAACTTCTTTATTTTTGGTAGCAAGGTTGTGTGAGTTTTTCCCTACTGAGAGCTGTAGTTCATCTTTCCAGAGGCCATGCTCTAAATGAGGTCAGAACAAAAATTAGATTTAATTTCATTTCCATTTCTTTAAAATGAAATATTGTAAATATAATTATGCTCCAGTCATGTATTTAATATCGCCTCTCATTGAATATGGTTTTATAACATAGTATCAACTTTTGGAGGTCTCTAGCGTCCATTTCCAGGGCTTTTGTGGGCCATAGATCAGGCACCTCTCCTTGATTAGCATTTTCTGCAGAAAATGTCATAATTGTTCATACTCAGCCACATCTTATGGGAAGGATAATTCTATGCTATTCTGAGCATCATATATGTGCACTAGGTGAAAATCAGTGAGGAAGCCTCCTGTGGCTTTTTGACTCCAACTCAAGAATTGAAACTGAACTTCTCTAAATTGTTCATGATCCACTTACTTACCTGCCCACTGCAATCACATGGCTCACTAAAATCAACATATTCTTCCTCTTTACTGTACATCCCTAAACCCAGCTTGGTTGGGTTTTGCTCAGAATCCACACGAAACTTCATTTTGGCCATGTTATCAAAAAGTTTTGAGAGATGGCGCTGAACCTACAAAATGAATTAGGACAGGTTGTTCATATTCAATGAGGACTTAAAGAAATATCAGCTTCCATCTCCTGGTGGTATATTCACTAAGACTACTGTTATCAGACTTTGAATCAAAGAGAAACACAGCTTACACTTATAGCCCATATTCTTAGTTAATGTTCATTTTCAGAGCTAAATTTTAAAGAACGCCCATCAACTATAATTGGCATTTAACAGCTTATAAAACCAATTCTGCAATCTTAAAATAAACTTATATTTACGTAGAAAGCATCTCTCTCTCCATATGTTCAATTGTGTGTAAACATTCTTATATGCCATCAACTAAATCTTCCAACTGCACTTAAAGCATTGCTAGTTTAATATATGGGCCACTAAGATGAAATCATTGAACAGTTAATCCTCTCCTAGAATCAGCAGACAAAACTCTAAGACAACAATGGAAAACTGATACATTTATCCATATTTCATCAGCATAATATTTATTTTGATTTTATAACACATGTCTTTAAATAGGAATAAAAGACAGAATTCAAACTGTTCCTTCTTCTACCAGAGAATTTTTAAACATTATTCTTCACTGAGTTTTTCTTTTCTTCTGATGCATTTAAGGCCTGGATCAAATGAAAAAACTTTGAAGCATCCAAGACATAACTGAAAACCATCCTACCTTCCTTCTTCTCTCCTTTACTTTTATATATGCAAAAATAATTAGATCCAGAATGTTTAAATAAATGGCTTCAATGCTTTCCCAGCCGACTCTTTCTCCACTACAAATGATCTTTTCAAATGTGTCTTAACAAACTTCTCAATATCTATAGCCAACTGGAAAAATCAGGCATAGTACAAAACAAACAGCAAAATGTGGTATTCTGCAATTTACTTGGCATGCCTATTCTTCATCTGCAATGGTTTGTACAGGGAAACTTTTCACCTCTGCTCTCCTTACAAACCAATGTTGACATAACGGAATTTTAGGAAAAGCGAAGTACTAGATGTACAGGCTGCCATCTAGTGGGGATTCAAAGATCCAACATGTCTTGAAAGCGAAGATTTATGGACAATGTTGCAGAAATGAAAGAACAGGCTCTTACAGCCAGTGTTGAGGATCTGAATCCAGCACATTCTCCAAAATGCCATGTTTATAACTGGGGGAAAAATATAAGTGACTTACCAGCTGTGGATTGGTGCCATTTGAAAGAATATCAAGTAAATCAGCAGACGAAATAAAGTAAAACCTGGGAAAGGCCAATCGTTTGGTGTCTAAATATTCAGCCAAAGCTTTTTCACACAAAGACAATCTGACAAAATCAAACATAAAATAGCATAACTATAGGGGATAAAAGGCCAATATAGCAGTCTAAGTAAACCATTATGCTGATCCACACTTATCCCATAGTGACCTCTTCCCAGGCTATATATCTTAATACATTCACATTTACTGAAATAATGTTTTTATGCACATACATTGCATATGATAATACATTTTATTTTAAAAAACAAGGTTATTTTTTTCCAAATTAAGAACTACTTTTGAATGGTTTGTCTGCATTGGGAGAATGTTTCTGAGGGGGAGGCTGAGCAGGGAGTGGGGGTGTGGCTCCATTGGCTGTGGAAGAAACTGGGGAAGGGCAAAGTCCGGCTGGCCAGAGCAGGGGAGAGGTAGAGCAAGGCAGAGGGAATTCAGAGAAAGAGAAAGACCCAGGCCCACCCCCTCTTGATCCACGCAGGGAGAAATAGAGAAGGGAGCAACATGAGTTGCGTGGCTTACAGGGGAGGAAAGGGCCCTGATTCCCTTCATTAGCTGCAGCTAGGAACACAGTGTTTAAAAAGGGAGGTTGCACACAGCGATTCATGGGAAGCAAATTGTGAGTTATCTTTTATGGTCAAGGCTTATGTGGGTTCCTGGCATCTTCCCAACTGTGTGTGCTTTGTTGGCCTTTGAAGTCTACAATTCCTTATCCTGCCCTGTCCAGTAAATTGCTGCAGCATGGTTTGTGTGGATTTTTATTTACAATTTATATGTAATTTGTTTTCGGACTGAATTTCCTTCATTTAAAGACTGTTCTTGGGAGAGTTTTTTCTCCAGCCAAAGGTAACTGGACATTGGGGGCAAAGTTGGAGGTATTAAAGGGACTTTTCTTACTTACGTAACTGTGTTGCCTTTGTGCCACAACCCAGGTCATCACAGAGAAGTACGTGCAAAAGTCAAAGAAAAAGGAAGACTACAGGTGGTCCTTGACTTACAGTTGGTCACTTAGCAATCATCTGAAGTTCCGACAAACCTACCTGGGAGTACTTACAACAAGAATTTGAAGACAGTGCCCCCCCATCAAGAACATATGATAGTGCAAATGGCCATAAATGTGGCCCAGTTGCTGAGCAACCGAAGCGCAGTCACATGGCCACATTTTGAAACTGGTTTTGCCAATAAGGGGCATTTTTTAAAACAAAAATAATGATTTTTAACAAAACCATTTAGTGTACCATTGTTTGGCTTAACAACAGTGATTTGCTTAATAACCACTGCTAAAATGGTTATAAATTCGGCTTTGTCACATGACCAACCCTTTTTATTATCAGCATGAGTTACATGATGGGCAGGCTCCATTATGGTCATAATGTGAGGACTATCTGTACATCTACTGTGCTTTAAGTTGAAAATTAATTAATTAAAAGGGATTATTCTTTGTGTACAGCAGGCTTGTCCAACCCGCGGCCCATGGGCCGCATGCGGCCCAGGTCGCCTCGTAATGAGGCCCAGTGCCCACCCCAACCATCATGCCACAGCCAGCGAGGAGGAGGAGGAGAGGCAGGCACGAGGCGGGGTGAGGCGAGCGCCAGGCCAAGCAGCAAGTGAAAAGGCGGGCGCCGTCAGAGTGCCATCTCCTGCTGTTGCCGCCACCGCCACCGCTGCCACTTCTGCCCCCGCCGCCGCTTCTGCCCCCGCCGCCACCCCTGCCGCTTCTGCCCCCGCCACCGCTGCTGCTTCTGCCCCCGCCGCCGCTGCCCCCGCCGCCACTTCTTCCCCCGCCACCACTGCTGCTTCTGCCCCTGCCACCGCTTCTTCCCCCGCCGCCGCTTCTGCCCCCACCACCACTGCTGCTTCTGCCCCCGCCGCTGCTGCCCCCGCTTCTTCCCCCGCCGCCGCCGCTTCTTCCCCCGCCGCCGTCGCTTCTGCTCCCGCCGCCGCTGCTGCCGCCGCTTCTTCCCCCGCCGCCGCTGCTGCCCCTGCCGCCGCCGCTGCTTCTGCTCCCGCCACTGCTTCTGCCCCCGCCGCCGCTGCTGCTTCTGCTCCCCGCCGCCGCTGCCCCCGCAGCGGGGGCAGAAGCGGCAGTGGCGGCGGGGGCAGAAGCAGCAGCAGTGGCGGGGGAAGAAGCAGCAGCAGCGACAGAAGCGGCGGGGGTGGGGGCAGAAGCAGCAGTGGTGGCAGGGGCAGAAGCGGCGGCGGGGGAAGAAGCGGCAGTGGCGGCGGGGGCAGAAGCAGCAGCGACGGCGGGGGCAGAAGCGGCGGTGGCGGGGGAAGAAGCGGTGGCGGCGGGGGCAGCGGCGGCGGGGGCAGAAGCAGCAGCAGTGGCGG